ACATCACACTCACACCACACATATGCCACACACACCCCACACACCCCACACACCACACTACTCACACCACACCCCACCCCACACTCATGCCACACACCCCCACACAACCCACACACACCACACACACACTGCATACACACTCCATACACATCCCCCACACACCACTCACACACCCCACACACCCCACACTCACCCAACACACCCCACACACCCCTCACACATGCCACACACACACCCCGCACACTCCACACACACACACTACTCACACCACACCCCACAGTCACCCTACACACCCATGCCACACACCCCCCACACCCCCCACTCAGATGCCACACACACCACACTCACACCACACATATGCCACACACACCCCACACACCACACACTACTCACACCACACCCCACCCCACACTCATGCCACACACCCCCACACACCCCACACACACACTGCATACACACCCCATACACATCCCCCACACACCACACACATCCGCACACACACTATGCACATGTCACACACTACACCCCCCCACATTACGCATGCCACACCCCACACAAACACACCCCCCCACACCCCCCCACACATGCCATACACCCCATACAGGCCACATATGCACCATAGTCACACCCCACAACCCACAAACACCCACACACACACCACACACACCCCACACACACACCACAGACATGGCACACTCACACCTGACACCCCCCACATACATGCCATACACACCCCACACAGCCCACACTCACACTCCACACACATCTCACACACATCATACACTGACACCCCACACACACCCCCACACATCCCTAACACCCCACACCCCACTCACCACACACCCCCTCACTGCACACACATCACACACACCCCAAACACCCCCCCACACCCCTACACACACAATCCACACATGCAACACCCCTTACCCCACACTCACCCTACACACACCCCACACACATACCCCCTACACACCCCACACACACCACACACACATGCCACACACACGCCACACACTCATTCCACACACCCGACACATGCCACACCCCCACACATGCATATCCACACAGCATACCCCACACACTCAGACATACACACCATACTCCACAACCCATGCACTCACACCACACACACCACACACATCACACACCTAGACATACACCATACCCCACACACCCCACACACCACACATGGTATCCTACACACCCCATTCACACCACACACACAATACACTCAGACACACACACTGTACACACACCACACACACCACACACTGACACACGCCATACCCCACACACCCCATACACTCACCCCACACACACCAAACATACCACACATGCCACACACCCCACACTCTCAGACACACACGCCACATCCCACACACCCCACTCACACCACGCACCCCACACACGCACGCCACATGCTCACATTACACACATTCATACCACACAACCACCGCGCATACCACATACACCCCACACCCCACACATGCCACACGATCACATTACACACTCACACCACACACTCAGACATGCCACACGTTCACATTACATACACACACCACACATTTAGACACACATACCACATACACTCAGACACATGCCACACATATTACACACCCCCCACACACGTTACAGGCTCACACTAAACACACAACTCATGCACCATACACACATGCCACACACACCACAGATACATACCACATGCTCACATTACACACACCACCCACCCCAGATGCTCAGCTACCACACATTCACACAAACCACACACATCACACACTCAGACACACACACTGAGTCCGGTGGGGGAGACAGAGGCACAGTGAGCAGTGCTGCTCACAGCTGAACGGAGCTGGCATTTCCAGCATCTGATTTAGACAGGTTGGTGACATAAAAGGCTTCTTCCACTTTTTAAAATCTAAGTGTGACCAGAAAACCTGAGTTTGCACACACAGGCACACAGTGGGGATCCATGCAGCCACCTCTGAGGATCTGGGGCCTGCATGTCCACAGTGGGGATGGGACCCATGCTCCTGCTGCCCCCAGCCAGACCAGGCTCTGCGGCTCGCAGACGGGCAACCTGCCGACTGAGGGGGCTGGAGTGGGTCTGTTCTACGGGTGTCTAGACCCATCTGGACATTCCAGGATCTGAAGAGAAGCAGACAGAAGGGGTAGAGCAGCAGGAGGCTGTGGAAGGTTCTGGAGCACAGGATAAGTAGCGGCATGCACACGTGATCACACACGTGTGTCGCATACCGTGCTCTCGTGGCATTTATGGATGGCCTCTGAGTGCTAAAGATTCTAGAAACATCTCCAGAAAAAGGGATGTGGGTAGCTAAGGGACTCCATGAAGTTTCCCCAACGAAAGAGACAGAAAGGGTCAACAAGCAGGAGGTGCCCCAGCTCACAGCACCAAGAAGCAAGTGCTGACCACAGCCCCGCCTGCTAAGAACAAGTCTGACTGTTCAGCACTGAGTGTGGACACCGTGGGATCTCATTTAGCCCCATGCCGGGAGGTGCCATCAGGGGCCGGGTGCACCTGTCAGGCCAGCCAGTCCCCGGGGCACAGCCTCTTCATCCGTGCAGGCGACAGACAAGGGCCTGGAGGCCTGGGATCACTGCCTTCCCCAAGGACACCCCTCTGGCCACCACCTACGCCTGGCACCTACGTCCTCGGGGTGTGGCCATGTGGTCTGACCCTGGGGCGTTCCCACACCCAGCCATCCCCTCTCTTCAGATATCACCTGTGATTCAGCCTCATTTATGACATGGGCTTAGTAACTGCCTTCCTACCACAGTGCGACTGAGAACCAGGGAGGAACATGTGGGAAGCGTCTGTAGCATCGCAGCCCCTGCCCCTCCAAGCCGGTCCCAGCAGCCCTTCAGGGGGCGTGGCTGCTCGGCCGAGACCCAACACATCCTCTGTGTGCTCAGCTGGACCAGCAGAGCCCGACACATGATGGCTGCAAGATTCTTGCAAAAGACAGGAGACCCAGATCAGAACCACAAACAAACCCAGCACACGGTGATTTGGGGCTGCCAGGATACCGCCACGCACAGGCTTTTGACCACAGGTGGCCACGAGTCCCCATCTTCCTGCCCACCAAGTCGTCCTGCCCCGACACGCCCACCAGGGTGTCCCCGCTCCTGCCTCACCCCACCAAGCGGACAGAGGAGCCTGCCCCCACTCCTCGAGACGTTACTGCAGATGCCGGCTACTGCTACATGGTGACATGTGACATTTATCAGGGTGCCCATGTGCTGTTTTCCAGGTCATGCTGATTTGCCAAGCTCTGGTTATGAGGCCCAGGGTGTTGCTGTTTTCAACAGAAGGACGGAGAAACTTCACGGTGGGCCGCAGCCACGCTGTCACACCGATGGCGAAACGCCTCCTCTGTGTGTGTTTCGCCGGCTTGTGTCATGTGAGGGATACAGATGCTGCATTTAAGGATATTTCTGGTTTCACTTGGTGCAGGGTTCACTAGACCCCAAGCAGAAGCAGCAGCTACAGTGTCTGGTGTGAGGCTGCCGCTCTCAGCATCTTCCTGAAGGCTGGGATGTGCACATCAGATGCCAGACCCCTGCGGCATCTCCCCCAAGTCAGCTTGCAGCTCTCGGCCTGACACTGCTCCCCGTGGGCCACCGGGGAGACGGAGACACAGAGCCAGGCTCCCTACCCTTTCAGAGGATGGGGACCCAGCTCTGCCTGGGACAGAACAGAAAACTGCAGCCCAAGGGAACCATTTTTGCTGACCTGATTTCCCAGTAGCCACCTCTGGGGTCAGTTCTCTCCTGGAAAGGGCAGGAGATGGCCACGCCCCCACGGTCGACCACGCCAGACAAGCCATGTGGATGGGCACTGCCCCGTGAGCATCAGCCCCTGTGCAGACGGCCTCCTTGGCACTAGAAACGCAGAAGCCTGCGTCCCCCAGAGCTCTGCTGATCAAACAGGCACGCGCTGGTGACAGTCTCCTCGGGAGAAAAGCAGTGCCTGGGCTAAGTCAACTTAACAACTGCTGAGCAACGGGGCCTCCAGGTGGTATCGGGAAAAGCAGCAGCTTGGGAGCAGAAAAGCTGGATTCGGGGCCCAGCTCAGATCTGAGGCTGACTACAGAGCTCCACGGAGCCACGATGCAGACAAAGCTCCAACCCCTCAGCAAAACCACGGAGAACTCAGTAATGGCTCCCACAGACCCGAATTCATCCCACACTCTCGGGGACCCCACAATGAAACTTCACAGAGACTCTGCCCCGACCCACAGTTACAGGGGCCCCATGACAGTGAAACCTCACAGAAACGCTGCCTCATCTCACAGACACAGGGACCCCACCGTGGTGAAACTTCACAGAGACTCTGCCCTGACCCACAGTCTCGGGAACCCCACGATGGTGAAACCTCACTGAGACTCTGCCTCGCCCCATAGTCACGGGGACCCCATGATGGTGAAACTTCACAGAGATGCTGTCTTGCCTCACAGTTTCGGGGACCCCAAGACAGTGAAACCTCACAGAGACTCTGCCTTGTCTCATAGTCTTGGAGACCCCACGATGGTGAAACCTCACAAAGATGCTGTCTTGTCTCACAGTTTCGGGGACCCCATGATGGTGAAACCTCACAGAGACTCTGCCTTGCCTCATAGTCTTGGAGACCCCACGATGGTGAAACCTCACAGAGACTCTGCCTTGCCTCATAGTCTTGGAGACCCCATGATGGTGAAACCTCACAGAGACTCTGCCTCGTCCCACAGTCACGGGGACCCCATGACAGTGAAGCGTCACAGAGGCTCCGCCCCATCCCACAGTCTTGGGGACCCCACCATGGTGAAGGAAGCCTCACAGAGGTGCCGCCTCGTCCCACAGTCTTGGGGACCCCACCATGGTGAAGGAAGCCTCACAGAGGTGCCGCCTCGTCCCACAGTTACGGGGACCCCACCATGGTGAAGGAAGCCTCACAGAGGCACCGCCCCGTCCCACAGTGCCTGCCGGCCTCTGAGTGCACGCACCTGGGGATGCCTGTGAGGTAGGTCATGACATTCTGGAACTCCTTGTCCGGGATCTCGCTGAAGGCCGGGTAGTCGGGGAAGGTGATGACTGGGCTTCCGTCCTGCCCCCGCCCACCTGGGGAGAGACCAGAGGCAGGACTTAGGCGAGTGCTCCCGGGGCCACTCAGTCCCACCAGCACCCAGTGCTTCAGTCAGAACCGACGCACGTTCTTCACCATCACATAACTTTTACTTGAAAAAGATGTGTGTCGCGTGAATAAAGTATTTGGGAAGTACATAAAAGTGCCCTGAACTTAGACAATCACCCATTATTGTGGCCACCATGGGGCAGCTATCGTCACCATTCAGTGTCTCCCTTCCGAGCCTTTTTCTACAGGCTTTTTAACCTCAAGGAGATGGAACCAGATAGAGAAGCCTCCTGGCTCCTTCCTAATGCCGAGAACAAACTGTTTCCACGCTTTGTAAATAGCCCAACCATAACTTTAAATATTGTGTGATATTCCACATACACACGTGCCTGACAACCTGCTGCCTGTGCCGTCTGTGGGCTGGTGTAGCTTCTCCCACATCCAATTCCAAAGGGCTCGTACGAGCACGGACTGAGTCACACAGGCTGGGCTCCGGGCCTCCCTGCTGGAGCCGGACGCCGCCCCTGCCACACCACCTTGGCTGGACCGAGTCCACTTCCCTCCCCCGAGCCTGGGCCCAGCCTTGCGACCTGTTTTCCCCACAGGACTCAGCAGAGGTGAGCTTGGGACTCAGGACACTGCAGCTGCCTCTAATCGCCCCCCAGTCATTGGCGAGGTGCCCCATGACTCTGCATCCACCTGCTGTGAGGAGACCCAGCTGCGCATAGAGGGTGGGCTGGGTGAAAGGGCAGGGAGGAGGGGTGTGGGACTGTAGCCCCCGGGATGCCCCGGGACACCCCAGCCCGGCCCCCGCGAGGACGCAGCTGGTGAAGGACCCGGTCAGTGCCCTTTTAGAACTCCAGATCCACTCAATGAAGAATGAGTCAGTAAAATAGGGCTGTTTCAAGCTGCAAAGTATAGGGAAGCTTTTTACATGGAACAGATAACGGTGGGTTTCCCCGCCCCCATCCACGTCCTCACTGAGATGACCTGGGCCTCACACGGTCGGGGACAGCCACAGCTTTGTGTCTTAACAGTGACAGCCCCGCTGCCTCAGGCCCCACAGCCGCTTCCGCTGGCTTCAGGAACTTCTGCTTCTGAGTCTTGGCCAAGCTCAGCCACGCCAGGCAGGGCGGCTTTACTGTCCAGTGATCCTGGGGCACTGGGCCCTCGAGGCTTCCCGTGGCACCTTGTCAGTGCCTGGGTCTGGCCTCCTCCCAGCGCCCCCTCCACAGAGCCCGTCTGGCCCATCAGGACCCCTGGGTGGGACATGATTCTATCTGACATGACCGTTGTCGCCAGACCAGGACGTCACACGAGCGTACCTCATCTCCCCAGCTCCTTCCTAACCTCCTCTGGGGCTCCTGCCTCCAGCCCGTCACAGCAGCCGAGCCTCTTAGCGGGCAGAGCTGAGGGGCACCCACACCCCGTGATGGCCTCCCCTTCACCTGGGACAGCCCAGTCCCTGCAATGCTTGATTCTAATATAGCCCCAAACAGGAAGGCGGCTGCCTGATCCGGCTCCATTGTGCTTTGCCGACCTCTGCCCTCCGAACTCTCCCAGCCCCCCAGTCTCTTGACCTCTGCTCCCGCCTGTGGCGGCGCACAATGCCCCATGCAGTCCTCAACAGAACGTGCCTGACCCTCACTCACAAACCCATCAGCATGGCTAATTCTCACTTCCTCTCTGAAAATTCCTCAGATCCCAACGATAAGAGCCCGAGGAGTGAACACTGCGGCCCTGTGTCCTCCTGAGCCTGTACGACAAACCTTCCTTCGGCCGCTGCCAGGGTGGGGGCTCAAAGCATGTCTCAGCTTCACCTGGCACCTGACACAATTACCAGCTGGGTTCAGCCGGGGCTGAAATTGCCCCCAGGGGCCGGGTATCTGAACCCTCTGTGATCCAGCACAGCCTCAGGAGGAAGCAAAGGCCTATTCTCTCTTCCCAAGCCAGGAGCGGAAGTCCCAGTCTGCCCACTGCGATTCAAAAAGCAGATGCCAAAGCTCCCAGCACCTGTGGTTATGAGGCTGGACGCAGAGTCGGGGGACACAGCCCCTCCCTGGAGAGACCCTCCCACCAAGGTGGGTAGTGCCAGGACCCTGCTGGGCTGAGGGCACCAAGAACAAGCTCTACTTCTGCGTCTGCACCCGGCCTGGTAATTGGAGGCCGACTGAGTGCCGCAGAGGACAGAGGGCTGCAAAGCTCCTGTGCGGTTCAGAGCAGCGCCCAAACCACACAGTGTGGTCCACCCAGCACCAGGGACAGCCCCCGGTCCCCACCCACGTCCAAAAACCGCTGTCCTGGTGGAGACCTGTCACACTTGCATGTGAACTCTTGTACCCAAGCAACTGGGCCTTTGTCCACTTGCTGAGGGGAAGGCAGTGCGGCTCCCTCTCATCCCTGACACCAGAAACAAGTATGACTCCTGTGGTATCTCACCTTAATGTGAGATACACACTCAGTTTAATACACACACAGCCACATACACACAGCTAGACACACATCTACACAGCTACATACACATGCATATGCATGTTCAGGTATGTATATGTATATATATATATACAAACATGCACACCTACACACACGGATACACACATACACAGCTACTCTACACAGATACACAGCTATACACAATCTACACACACACATACAGCTATACATGCACATGTATACACACTACACGTACACACATCTGCACAAACACACTCTTATGGACTAGATGTTTGTCTTCCCCCAAATTCATGTGTTGAAATGTCGATCCCCAAGGGGACGGTGCTGGGAGGTGGGGTCTCTGGGAAGTGAGGAGGCCATGGGAGTGGGGCTCCCGCGAATGGGATTCTGTGGGCTTGTTCTGCTCTCCTGGCCACATGAGGACAGTGAGAAGGCAGCAGTCTGTAAATCAGGAAGTGAGCCCTCACCAGGCAGCATGTCTGCCAGTGCCTTCATCCCAGACTTCCTGCCCCAGAACCAAGAGAGATAAACTCCTGTGGCTTAAACCACCTAGCATAGGGAACTTTGTCACAGCAAGCAGCCTAAGCTGACCAAGACATACATGTAGATATGCATACACCCACCCACATGCACACACACAAAGGTACACACACACACACATCCTGGGCGGGAGGTGAGACACACATGTAGACACACACACACACACACACACCCTGGGCAGGAGGTGAGACACACATGTAGACACACACACACACACACACACACACCCTGGGCAGGAGGTGAGACACACATGTAGACATACACACACACACACACACATCCTGGGCAGGAGGTGAGACACACATGTAGACACACACACACACACACACACACACACCCTGGGCGGGAGGTGAGACACACATGTAGACACACACACACACACACACACACACACCCTGGGCGGGAGGTGAGACACACATGTAGACACACACACACACACACCCTGGGCGGGAGGTGACACACATGTAGACACACACCCTGGGCAGGAGGTGAGACACACATGTAGACACACACACACACACACCCTGGGCAGGAGGTGAGACACACATGTAGACACACACACACATCCTGGGCAGGATGTGAGACACACATGTAGACATACACACACACACACACACCCTGGGCGGGAGGTGAGACACACATGTAGACACACACAGACACACACACACCCTGGGTGGGAGGTGAGACACACATGAAGGCACACACACACCCTGGGCAGGAGGTGAGACACACATGTAGACACACACACACACACATCCTGGGCAGGAGGCATGTGTCATGGCCAAGCCGGGTGACCAAGTGTGTGACGACTCACACATGTGTCCTGCTCATTTTACCCATGGACATGGTGCATCTTACGGTGTCCCTCTTTCTGACGCATCGGCCCAAACCTGGCTTTAGAAACTCACACCCACATGAGCTGCTTAGGAACGAAAACATTCACGTGGTTAACTTACTATGACACCTGAACCCTAAGTTAACTGTCAGGCAGAAAAATCTCAAGAACTAAACAGAAACCTCCTGTGAGTGTGGAGGCACCGAGGAGGCCCGACGTTCCGAAACTGGACGGCAACTCGGAGCTGCACCTCGATGGGCGCCTCTGTCAACACCACAGCTGTGGCAGCGACTCACACCTTCACATACGTTGGTTGCTGGTCTGTCTGAGCAGCCAGAACAAACCACCGTAGACTGGGTGGCTCAAACATCAGAAATTAATCTCACAGCTCCAGCCAGGTAAGCCCAAGGTCGAGGGAGGGCTGGTCTCTTTAGCCCCTTCTAAAGGCACTGGTCCCACCTGGGGCTCCACCTTCACGAGCTCATCTCCCATAGGCCTCACCTCCCCAAAACATCACCTCAGGGGTTAGGGTTTCGACCTCTGAACGTGGAGGGGCACATCCCACAGCAACTGGTTTCCGGTTGTGCAACCATTGATTCCTTGAAGCAGGTCCAGAAAGAAAACATGCGGCTCCGCCCTAACCTACGGGGACTCCTGTCTCAGTCTCACTGCCTTGATTCTCTGCAGAATGCCCAGGGCCACCCCAGTGACCTTCTGTCCATTTCTGTTTCTCTCCCGCAAGGGTGAACCCCTACGGGTGGGGACCCCGTGTCTGTGGCTGATGCTTCAGTGACGCCGGCCTCAGGGAGGGCACTATTGGTCCTTGCAGGCTGGAGCAGCCATGCGGCCTTGGTGAGTGCAGAGTGAGCTTGGGGCCTGGTGGCTGGAGCCTCAGACCGTGTGCCAGGAAGACCCCAGGGTCCTGCCCCCGTTCAAAGCCCTCTCTCAGGACAGCCCAGGCAGCACCGCACTGGAGCCCTGCAGCTCATCTGAGAACTGTGGCTCAGCTCACAGACACGTAAATCCTTAGGACAAGACGTGAGCTGGGACAAACCAACATGGGCCAGGAGACAGGCATGCCTGTAGGAGGGGCTTGTGCAGTGAGGGCCTGGGCAGGTGAGGAAGCAGAGGAGACGAAGGAGATGAGACGAGGGTCTCCAGCGTTCTTCCCGGGAAGAGCTCGGGCCGGGGGAGGGTCCCTACACCAGAGGTGCCTGGGCCTGGGATGGAACAATCCTGTCAAGTCCAGGTCCCTGGATGCCCCCGATGGCTGCCCCTGACCATACCAGGTTCTTGTAAAAGCAAAACGCAGTTCCCCCGAGCTGCACGGACAGTGGGAGGGGGTGACATGCGCAGTGCTGGCGGCCTTCGCGCCGTCCACAGCAGGGATTGGGATGCCCAATGCCAGCGGCCTCCGCGTTCCGGGTGCGGCCTCCGTTTCAGCTTTGTGGTTTTCACCGGTGGCGAGACTGTTCTCAGCGTTTTTTGCTTCAGACCACAAGTTCCTCAATGGTAAATCCTCCCGCCCTGTTTTTAGCTCTTGCTGACGGCCGGCAAGTTGAAGCGTTTTTTCTAAGATGACACAAGGCCTGAGTTCTGAGGCCACGACCTCCTCAGCGCCTGCTCCAACCGCCACGCAGGGGACACGCCTCTGCCTCTGGGTTCAGGGCACCCAGCCCTCAGCCTTCAGTAAGAGAGTCGAACGGCTGACTCTCAGGAGGTAGCTCTGCCTCCAAGATTCTTGGAGAAGAACAATCAAGAATTTACATGTAGGATATTTCCTGATTTTACACCCAATTCCTTGTTCCCCAAATCTCAGAAAACTAGAGGGGACAGTAGGGTGGCATGTCCTGTGGCTTCTGGTTAAGCAAGGTGCTTTCAGGACGATGTCACTGTGGGGTAGAGAATGTGGATGACGCAGGATGCAGGCTGGACTGGGAGCTGCCGTCTGCAGTGGCAGATTCCAGGGGCCATGTCTGCAGCTCGTCCCTAACTGTGGGTGGCCATGCCAAGGAGTTCAGAGCCCCCAGGGCAGAGACACCTCTCACTTGGCTGCCTTTCAAAAACTGCCTGGTTTGGACCAGGACCTGGACAGAGCTGCAGGGTTCTGCATGGCACCTGCACATCTGCAGACAACAGAGGCAGAAGAGAGGGGACCGCACAGGTCACAGGGCAGCCCTGGCTCCGCGGCAGACAGTGAGGGGCACATGCGAATGTCTGCAGGGAGAGGAAGTCGGCAGCACACGTGGAACCCATCGCAGAGTCTCCTCTTGAAAAGGAAACTTTGGAGCCGCTCCTCCCTGATGTCTTCAGTTCTTTGCTCTGGACTTCATTGCAGGCACCAAAAGACCAGGGAATGAAGCAAAAGTCCACGGAACGGGCTGGGGGGTGGTCGGCCTGTGGGCTCCAGCTATGATGAGGGACCTCACCCGGCCGGGCCCCACGGCTACAGTGGTCAATGTGCAGGGGCGGCAGGTAGGGGAGTTAGTGTTTCCTTTGAGTGGAGTGACACGGTGACCGCAAGTCCCGCAGGTGGTGTTGGGGTTGGGGGGAGCCCCGCTTGGGGCAGCTGTCAGGATGGCAAATCTCTGAGCCAAATTCACCCTGAGTCCAAGGTGGCCCCTTTTCACACTCGGTTCCAGGAGCCTGAAAACGTGACTTTATTTGGAAAAGTCTGTGCAGAGGTAACTAAGTTCTCCAGATGAGACCGTAATGGATTAGAGAGTGGGCCCTAAACCTCGTGTCGGGTGTCCTGGGAGAAAGGCAGAGGGGCTCCCTGCAGGTGAGGCGGCCGCAGGAAGACACCAAGGGACACCAAGAAACGCCCGTGCCCCAAAGCTGGAGGAGCCTCTGGAAGGGACGCCGCCCATGGAACCTGAGAGGAGCCCCTGTGTCATGTTTCAGTCTCCCTGTGCCTGGCTCCTGTCATGTGGATGCAGAAGGGGGCTTCATGGCAGGAACCCAGAGCACAGGTGCAGCCTCAGGACGCAGCTGTGCTGGACGCAGTGAGGAGGTGATGGGGTAACTGGAGACCCACACACCAGAGGGCTGCCACGGACTTCATCCAAAGCCACGCACATCTGCAGGAGAAGCGCCAGCTGACACCGATCTGTCTCAGATGCGGTACTGTTGCTACAACCTGGATCCTGAGAACAGCCTGGCCTGCACGGGGTCCCACCCCAGCTGGGCCCATGGCTGAGCCCTCAGGATGTGGCTCTGGGCTGGGCGCACCTCTAGGAGTCAGGGGGCAGCTGTGAGCAAGCCCAGCCCTCAGGAGGGACCCTCATCACATACAGGAAGACAGCACAGGTGAGGAGGGAGAGGGTGTGGCCGAGGGCATGCCTCTGAGCAGGGGCCTGAGGGGACGGGCCAGCCCCAAGCCCCTTGGAAAAAATGGGCTGCAGGGAGAAGGGCTGCTGCGCAAAGGCCCTGAGGCTGGCCCGAGGCAGGGGATGGGGAGGCAGCCTCCAAGGTGTGGGCAGGAGACGAGAGCAGGCAGTGGTGGCACAGGGGAGTCCGGCTTTTATTCCAGGAGGGAGAGGAGCCCACGGAGGCTTCAGTGTGGTTCCCAGGACCTCTGACGCTCCGGCAGTGATCAGCGTGCAGGTCTCTGCTCGGGTCTCCAGGTCCGTGTGGAGGGTCGCCGGGCTGTGATCGCCTCTGAGCCCCATTCCTCCAGCTCCCTGCGATGGGCTTGGCAGAGCTCTGTTCCCAGCTGCAGTGCCGAGGGCCCAGGTTCCTCCACGGGGCGGCTCTCATCCTGGTCCGGCGGCCTCTGCTTCCTTCAGGGCCACACAGAGAACTCCCCGGTGTCAAATCCCTCCTGCACCTGGAGTCTCTCATGTCAGGAAGAGCACATGCCTTTTAAGGGCTTGGCTGATTGGGTCCGGCCCACCAAGGAAGGTCTTAAAGTAGCTGATTTGGGAGCCTTACATTCATCTGCAAAATGCGCTCACAGAGCTCCTGGGGTGGCATCTGAGGAACCACTGAGAAACGGTGGTGGCTGGGGCCGTCCCAGGCACCGCTGGATGGGGGCATGACCTGGCATCTGGAGGAAGGTCAAGGCTGGAGGTCTAGGTCAGGGTCCCTGCTCGTGGCAAAGCCGTGAGTCTCTCTGGAGTTGAGGAAGGGATTAAGGGAGCTGAGGATGCAGGAGGAACCAGCAGAAACCACAGTGCCTCTCCTGAGCCATCACTGCACCTGGTCCCCGATGCAGGGAGCTTGGAGCCCTTGACCTCTGGGAGTTTTCAGTTCTCAAAGATTACCCGCTCCCTCCCCTCCTCCTCCTGGGTCACAAGACCATGGACAGCAGGGGCCAGGCCCGGGACGGCTCTCCTCCTCCTCAGGCCATTGTGTTGCTGGCTGTCTCTTCAATGTTGTTCTCGTAAAACCCATGAGCTGCACCTTGGCCTCTGACAGTCAGCCTCCCTCAGACTCCAAGTCCCGGCCTGGGGTGCAGGCTGGCCCTGGGGGTGCAGGTGCAGGATAGAGGCTCCCACCATGCCAGTCATGGAGTGGGGGCGGAATGCAGAGAGGCAGAGGCCGACTCCCAGGAGCACTGTGTCCTCAGTGCCAGGGCACCCTCATGGCCCAGGAAGGGCACGCATGTGTGTGGGGTTTTTTTCCGATGGGTCCTGTTGGGCAGATTTGTTCACATAAGAACAGCATCTGCACAGCTCAGGGACACTTCAGGCGCCCTTGCCGCACCCACACAGGGGGCTGGGAGCCTCACTGTGTCCCCATGTCCACAGGTGGGCCAGACGCAGGGCTGGAGGCTGCAGTGGACAGAACATGGCCTGGGAGGGTGGCCAGAGCAGCCAGAAGGTGCCCGGATGCAGCGGGAACTGGGGGTCACTGAAGCCCACGGGCTCGGCACCCACACACCACGCACGTCTGTACCTGGAGGCCACAGTCAGTAGTGCCCAGGCTGCGTCCCGCTGGGGACCCTGACCTTCCTCCGCCTACCTCCTCCCAGTGGCCGTGTGCCAAGTGCATGGAGCTGCCTGATGAACAGAGATGGGGAGAGCCTCCAGGTCATAGGTCAGACCCAAGGCAGTGAACGAGCAGCCCTCAGATGACCCTTCCCAGCTCCAGCCCAGGCCAGGACCCAGACCTCTCCCTCTCCACGCTGTCCCGGCTTCCGGAACTCACCAGACAGGTAAGCAAAGCGCTTCTTCAGCTGGTCCTGGATGTCAGCAGCGCAGAGCGGGACGATGTCCTGGTGCATGATTTCATCTGTGGGGAAGAGAAAGCATGCGTCAGTCCCGAGAAGCTGCCCCCAGCGCAAGCGCCCACTGATCTCATGCAGAGCCGGCACTTCCACGGGCACCTGCGGGAGCCACGTCGTGTGGCTGGAGAAAGGCTTTTCAGTTTCCAATACGGAGAGGCCTTTCACTTCTCAGCGCACAAAAGCTGTGTGTTGAGTGATTCGCCATCAATGTTTATAGTGTGGTATAAGAGGTCCAGAGAGAGAGAGACTGAGGCAGAGAGAGCGAGGGACAAAGACAGACACCTGGGCAGAGGGGAGGCAGGAGAGCGGCGGCAAAGGGCTGGGTCCTGGCTCCTTGGATGAATTCGCTTTGGCCAGAATCTCACCCACATCGGGGAACACGTTCAGATGATCCCTGGCCCACACCTGTTGCAGGTGGAATAACTTGTGGCCCATGAGGAAAACCTGGCCAAGGAACAGGCCACTGCCACCGCACACACGGGACACTCGGGGGTCTGTGCCACACCTCTGGCCTCACCATTAGCTGGATACAAATGAGACAGGATGGCAATGGCAGGGCCAACCCCCACATCCATCCCTGCACGAAGCAGGCTGCAGATGGGTCTGGATGCACTGCTGCACCTACAGCCACCGGGCCAGCACTGGCCAGGAGCATGGAACCAGCACTGGCTGGGAGCACAGGGCCAGCACCGGCTGGAAGCATGGAGCCAGCACCAGCAGGGAGCACAGGGCCAGCACCGGCCAGGAGCATGAGGCCAGCAAGACCCTCCAGGGAAAGCCATGTGGACTGACAGGCTGGCAGTCTCAAAGCAGGTGCCAGGTGCTTGTGCCTCGGGGACACGGACCTGGAGCAGATGAGATTTCTGGCCAGTGCTCTCATCACACAGACACATTTTCACCTGAACAGCCACTCAGTTTCCCTCTAAGATGTGGGACTCACGCTGACGGCCTGAGAATGGCTTAAACACTCAACTCCTCCCCACCTGAGGACCCAGGCCACCCACAGCCTGAAGATATGGGTCAGAGAGGTGTTTGTACCTGGAAATTCCCAGTGGAGGCCGAGAGATAATATTGACCTGGCATCAGGCTTAAATCCTGCTCCTCCAGTCTTGCAGACAAGCAAGTGTAAACACAGGACTCAGGGAACCCACGGGGTCCCCTCCTGGGCTGCAGCCCTGCTGGCTACCGGGCTGGTTTGCCTCCAAGCTGGAGACAACCCCAGTGCTGGTGACAGAGCAGCGGAGCCACGGTGTCACGGGGCTGCCAGAGCCACACAGATGTTGAGGCCCTTCCACTGAGTCTTGCAGGGAGAGCTCAGGGCACAGATCTGTTCCCAGTACACAGCCACGTCTCAGCAATGGCTTATTTTGTGGGAGGACAGAAACAGTCACGCCGGTAAAATGTGAAATACTTTTTTACACTCCAGGCGAGGTGACTCCCACTGGTGCACACCTCTCTTTAGAACCTGCATCTGGCGCAGCTGACGGCAGCCTAGACTACACAGCTGAACATTCAGATTTTGCATTGCGTTTTTCTCTCTCACCAGGAGCAGCTGCAGCCTCAGAGAGGAAACCAGGGGGCGCCTTCCTCAAACCCAGCGTCTGCTCACCGTGGAGAAGCACATGGCTGACACAGACCACGGCGGGGAAGGCTCTCCCTGGAGTTTTCAGAAATTCTGGGGGCTACAGAAAAGACTGTGCTACTGTGAGTTGGCAGGTCTGTCATGGGGGTCAGCTTGGACAGGGGCTGCCACAGTCAATGGAGGAGGCTGGCGGCTGGGCTCACCGGGGCCTGGACACGATCGGGGAAGCATCACCCATGTCTCCCCTCCACACTTCAACCTCCAGATGCCATTGACTGCGAGTCAGGCATCGAATGGACATTTCCACAATGACTCCCAGACTCCACGGTGGCAGCTCCAGGAGGCGGGCGGCGTGTTCCCTAATAGCTCGGGCATTCCTGACGCAGCTCTGGACCTCGCCTGCACCTGCACTGGGACTCTGCTGACAGCAGACATCTTTCCTGTGTGTCAGAGATAGACAGACACCACCCACCGCCCCCTCCATGTCCAGAGAGTGGTGCATGAAGTGGAAGTGGCCTCTGGGACAGGCTGTCCATGGGGGCCTCCTTGTACCCCCTCCAGGGGCTGGCCACACACTCAGAGTTCCTCAGACAGGTGAGGTTCAGGCCAGGAGCCCTTGCTCAGTGGCCCCTCTGTGGCCAGTCTGACCCCACTCTATTTCCTATGGAGACACCATCTTGGAGAGGACCTTCTTCAACTCCTCGCCAGCCAGGGGCCCTCCCGGCATGCTGCACACTCCATGGGTGCCCGCAAGCCCCTACTCAAGACTGTAGGGACCATGCCTGGATCCCCACCCTCCTCACAGGGCCCGGCCCAGCAGCCCTCCCTGCTAACGAAGTGGAGGAAGGGAGGGGGGCCTTCTCAGAGCAGCCTGTGGAATCCAGTGCCAAGGCCCCGACCCCTCACAAGCAGGCTCCCACTCTCTGAGTGTCTCACAGGCCCACAGGGGTCAAAGCACCACCTATCCACCATCCACACCACCTGCCACCATTTACACCACCTGTCTACCGTCCACACTGCCTGTCCACCATCCATGTTGCCTGTCCAGTGTCCACACTGCCTGTCCACTGTCCACCTGCCACCGTCCATGCCGCCTGCCACTGTCCACATCACCTGTCCACCGTCCACACTGCCTGTTCACCATCTACACTGTCTGTCCACACTGCAGCATCCACCTGCTGGTAGCCCCTGGTGCCTCTGGATTCCTTGGGTCAGGACAAATTCTAAATATCATCCCTTAGATCAAATGCTTCGTTTTGGGTTTGAAAAACAGGGTTCCCCTCTGCATGATCAGAAACTGCACACGGCTAAGCTCGTACAAATAAACTCTAAAAAATCACGGGCCGGGTGCAGTGGCTCACGCCTATAATACCAGCACTTTGGGAGGCTGAGGTGGGTGGATCATGAGTTGAGAACATCCTGGCCAATACGGTGAAAGCCTGTCTCTACTAAAAATCCAAAAATTAGCTGAGCATGGTGATACCAGCCTGTAATCCCAGCTACTGGGGAGGCTGAGGCAGGAGAATTGCTTGAATCCAGGAGTTGGAGGTTGCAGTGAGCCGATATCTCACCACTGCACTCCAGCCTGGTGACAGAGCAAGACTCCATCTTCAAAAAGAAAAAAAAATCACTGCATCTGAAGCGGTCACCGGCCACTCCATGAAGCTGAAGAGGCCGAAGGGCGCTCTTTGAGCACCATCAGTGTTGGCCTTTTCCTGCTCCTCACACAGACCATCGGCAGCCGGAGGCCCTGGGATATTCAGTGTGTTGGGTGTTTCTGTTTACATGTGTAAGTTGTCATTCTTCCTGATTTTTTGAATCCACTCGAGTGATGGGAAGTTCTGCACTTATGATCACACTTTTTAAAAAGTTCCAATCGACTTAATTTTGCAGCTATAAGACTAAGAAGCTCACGGAAGGACAAGGGTGGCACCCGGTTGAGGAGGCAGGTCCCCGAAGGAGATGCAGGCAGGTGAGCGTGGCCTCGTGGCGCTCCATCCTCTTGGACATCTGGGAGGCGGTGGGCTCCGCACCCGTCTTCAGCACCCAAGCCCAGGCCAGCTCCTCTGTGGGAGTGCCTGATGGCCTGACTTCCTGCCCCAAGCAACACCCCAGTGATGACCCCACAGCTCGGAGGCAGGTCTGAGAGGGGAGGGTTAGGGCAGGTCTGAAGGCGAGGGTTAGGGTCTCACGTCTGAGGCCTAGTGGAGGTTGCCCGTCCACTCCCCTGGTGTGCGGGTCACTTCCTGCATCCTGCACATCTGGGCAGAGGCGGCAGGGGAGGCCAGTGTGGGGGTGGCCAGGCCTTCCCCTGGCCGAGTGCAGCAGCCCCACCTGGGAGGGCCGATCTCTTCTGGTCACCTCGGGGATGACAGGTGGGAAGGGCAGAGGTGCCCTTGGCTCAGTGGATACACAGGTGAAGCCCACCACCAAGCTTTCCTCACAGAAAATAGGGTTCTGGCTCCTGGCCAGGTGACAGTCCAGGGAGGTGGAACCACGTGTCTATCTTTAGATCCCTTTGTTCCAACAAAATGAGACGCCTGAAGCAAACTTCCTTCCTCTTGCAAACTGACTTGAAGACTGGCTTTATTTGAGGACAATTTCATCCTGAAAACCGGGAGTCGGGGAGCGGGAGGTGGGAGAGCGGCCGAGACGTCTGAGCAGCATCCCGGGCACCCCTTCCAACCTGGGGTGACCTCGGCTTTGCTGACAAGCAGCAGAGAGAATGCAGGAGACGGAGCTGGGAGCCGGTGGGGCCAGATACCGCTCATAGTGTGGGCGGGGTGGCACATCACAGATGGATCTCAGTGGGACCCCAGTAACCCACTCACGTGGCCACTCAGTGGGGGTGGGGGGGTGCACCCTCACAAGTGGAGCTGGGTGAGACCCTGGAACCCACGCATGGTGTGGGGGGGTGCACCCTCACAGGTGAAGCCAGTGGGGTCCCAGGAACCCATGCATGGTGTGGGGAGTGCATCCTCACAGGTGAAGCTGGGTGAGACCCTGGAAACCACTCATAGGTTAAGCCGGTGGGGCTCCAGGAACCCACACATGGTGTGGGGGGGTGCACCCTTACAGGTGGAGCTGGGTGGGCCCCTGGAAACCCCACATGGTGTGGGGGGGGGGCTGGTGCATCGTCACAGGTGGAGGCAGCCAGGCAGCTCCTGGCAGCAGGAAGAGCCCCAGGTGCAGCCGGAAAGCCCGTCCCTGGTGCTCACTGGTGACCGTGGGCAGAGGAGAGGACAAGGCCCTCCACACAGCAGCCTGGGGCTGTGGGGCACAGTCCATCGTTTGCCAATTGTCTCCTTTTCTGTATGTCTGGCAAAAAGCCCATTCCCAAAGCCTTCTGCATCCTGTCCATCAGACAGGACAGTCGTGCCTTTTCCAAGTCCAAGGCTGAGCATCGGATGGGATTACGTCTCT